CCAACAGTGCTCTGAGCGTCGGTGATATTGAGATCGATCTACTCCAATTGGACTTTGTGTACACTACCTATCGCATGGAACCCAATCTCACCGATCGTGTACGCCTTCCCAAACAACTCTATTTCCACACGTGGTGCCCTCGTCTCATACAAAAGAGCATTTCAGATGATGCTGGTACACTGGAACTGCTTCACAATGCGGACATTCCACGCAGGATGATCCTGTTCTTCACAGATTTGACTCATGGTACACAGCCAGCATTGGCTGGAGGTGAAGCATCGCATTCTTCGAACAGACTGGCCATGATTCATGCAAATCTCAGTCAACTTCGTGTCACTGTCAACGACCAGACGCTCTTTGACAACCCGCTCAAGTTCCAGTGGGATGTGAGTCGTAATACTGAAGGGCAATACTTCTACGATTACAACAAATCCTCCTACCTGCGTGGCTACAATCTGGTTCAAGACTTTTTCGGCAAGACGTATGGAACGCAAATCCCCATCACCGCTGCAGATTACTGCAATCACTACTTTATGGTGCCTATCAACTTGAATCTGGATCGGACCACAGACAATCCAAGATCGAGAGGAAATCTGTCCATCGACTATCAATTTAGCGACGTGACAAACGCCCCCGTGAGGAGACCTAGCGAAAATGGTGCCTCGATCAAAGTCAACCTTCTCTGCATGGACAAGTACTTGTACACCATGAGCAAAGATGAAGGTATCAAAGCCGAAGTTGTATGAATTAATTCCGACCTAGTAGTAAAAGGGCATCATGGAAGGTGGTGACCTGGAGACCAGACATCGTGTCTACGGTGGTGATTTGAAAACATCGAGTCGACAACACGGTGGATTCTTCTGGAAAAAGAGCTTCTGGAAAAACCTAATCGGTGCTGGACCGGATGAGATGGAAAAGCAGATGGCGGAACCCACGACAAAACAAGATGCAATGCAACGCGGTGGACTTGGACCCCTGGCTGCCATGGCAGGAATGACACTTCTTCCCATGCTTTTGGGGAGAGGAGAGTCCGGAGACATTGTGGAAGCGCAAATGAAAACAGCTTACAACCCTGCCATGCACCGAGGAGGTCTAGCCATTCCACCAGGATTAGCCGCCAAGACCATACCACTCCTGACGAATCTGGCTGCTCCCTTGGCCATGGGTACCATGGCATCACTGGGTGACAACGTAATGGATAAAATATTCGGCAGAGGAGTAAGGAAGGGAAGCTCAGCAGGTGCCATGAAGCGCACTAAAAGTCGTCGTCGTCGGCATGCACCGAAGAAGATTCGTCAACGAGCATCTCGAAAAACCAAGAAGCCAGCTCGTCAAGTTCGCTCCAAAGGCCGCAGGGCACGAGGAATAAAGAAACAAGGAAGGGCCTTGTTCAAAAAACTAGGACATCGTGCCCTCGACGAAGCTTCATCGTTCCTGTCTGCACCTCGTAGATCCCTAACCCGTCCTGAAACTCCATTTGCTCAAAAAATTCGACAGAACATTAACAGTGCAGGACCGTCTTCTATGAGTTCCGCTCACATCGGTCCATCCTACAACATCTGATCATGGACTTTATCTCGCTCCTTGGACAGGAAATCGGGAGGAAGAAAAAGACTAGTCCCGTAAGGAACGACGATGTTCCGACCACGGCCACTGCTCGACACGGGCTGCACATTCCTGGACTTCAGTTCGAGTCTAAGGATTGGTTCACGGAAATCATTCCTGCTCTGAAATCCTGGGGTCAAAACGTATTGTTTCTGGGACAGAGCAACATGGGTAAATCCTACTTTCTCATCAAGCTCCTGAAACGCGTGCAACCTGAGCGTATAGTTGTCATCTCCAACACGCCGGCCGATCAGTATCGTCTCCCAAGCCTCAAATCCTTCAAGCATTACAGCACCATGCCCGAGTGTATCGAAGACATGGATCTCCAGCCTAACACCTATGTGATCATTGATGACATCAGAGTGATGGGTTTGAAGCACGGCAGTCAAAGAGAGTGTCTCTACAAGTTCTTCACCATGTACAGTCATCATCATAAGTTGAACGTGTTCTTTCTCTCTCAGAGCTTTGATAACATTAAAGACATGAAGATCAATGCAAACTTTATGTATCTATTTCGCTTCACTGATAAAAGCAATATCAAGCGTTATCTCAATACTCTGTTTGGTGGTCTGTGCACGAAGTCATCCATTATCTTTAGATTGTATGAGAAGTTATTGGCGGTGTGTCGCAGACCTATCCTAACCATTGATTGCTCTTCTAATCAGTACTACACGTATTGCGAAGACACTGCATTAAAGGTGACTTTTGAATAAAAACCTCGTTGATGTGCGTGTTTAGCCGAAAAGTTAGCCGAAAAGTTAGCCGAAAAGTTAGCCGAAAAGTTAGCCGAAAAGTTAGCCGAAAAGTTAGCCGAAAAGTTAGCCGAAAAGTTAGCCGAAACATTGAAAAAAAATTCCAATCATGAATAAGAATGGAGCATCTTACGGTGAAATTCTCAAATGGGCTACCGAGCAGTATACAGAGGGTGGGGTCCAGAAAGGGATCCTTCTCGATACCCAAGCGTAAAAGGTTGCAAACCTTGCAGTTTATGTCGAAACATCCTCAACACATCCTCAAGAAGAGAGTAAATTCGTGGGAAGTTCTCGGTATACCACCACTCATGCGGCAAAAAGGAGGTAATAACTACAATACCTACTTGAAAAGCGTCAAGAAAGTTCTTTCCCAAGTGCCAGATCACAGTTTGAGCACCTCCACCCTGTTGGAACTGCAAGCTGATCCGCGAGTAAAGCGTCTATATGACACCCACTTCAAAAACAATCCCGATCACATCAGTTACCCGTCTGTGAGAAATGTGATTGCATCCAACATACTCAACTATGATTCCACTACCGATCAAGTTCGCGATTCCGTTGCAGATGTCAGGAAGAAGAGAAAGGCACCTTTAACATCAGTGCCTTTCAATCTATTACAAGACCACGAATTTGACCGATGGATCCTACAAATCCTGGACAGTTTCCTCCGACATACAAATATACCGGCAACCTTTTTGAAGAGCAACTATTTCACAAGCCGATCACAACTGCTGCAACTCTACGATGAAGATCGACTGAGGTTCAGGAGTCGGGTGGAAGCGGCTGCGGATGCCCTGAAGACGCAGACGATGAACGACTACACTACTCTGGTCAACGAGACGAATCGCATCTACATGTCCAGGTACCCGTTTGCAACCATAGCGGGTGCGGTGGGAATCCACAAACATGTCGATGGATTCCTTCGATCAGAACGAAAGATTCATGAACTAGCCACCCTAGTGCTAGCTGTACCAGGATCGCAGCTCAAGTTTCAAGATCTCAACGATATGACTTCTACGTATGGTAGAACAACTGAAGCAAAATTGATCCATCCCGAGCATTTCATGATCAGAGCACAAAAGGTGATGGTGGACGATGCATCATTCATTCAAGAGGTTCTGAAGGATAAAAGCAGGATCACTCGTATCATCAAGGATATCCTGAGTGGACGTTCAATGTGATCACGTGCGCGAAAATTTTCAGGCTATGATCAAGAATGGACTACCCTCTCAGCAGTGTCGACATCAAAGGAAGATTGAATGGTGTTGGAGGGTTCGTGGGGTGTACAAGTTACGACCTCTTACCACCCTTGAACAATGGAGACTTTTGTATCGTCAACACCGACAACGTTCTACCGGTGTACGATGCACCGGAAGGTGGACATCATTGGTTGACCGTGTGTCGCGAGCAAAACGTGATCCTGGTTTTTGACAGTTTCGGACGCAGTCTATACACTATGGAGCAAGATTACACTGAACCTGCACTGTGCGATTTCTTTAAAGAAGCCTATGCAGACTGTAAGATCATCACCAACACCCAAGCCGTTCAAGACAGAAGCACAGCAGTATGTGGATGGTATGCCATATTGATGGGAAAGCTATTTTCCAAATATGGTCTGGATGAAGCACTTCGAATTTTCCGAAGAGTCTTCGATGAGGATGAAAAGCTGGAAAACGATCAACTGGTTCTCAGTTTAGGTGCCTTGCGAGGTGGTGGAGCCTTGTGGGATACGAAAGTGCAAAAAGCACTTCATGATGGAAGACAGAAGAAGAAGTCGCAGTCCACACCATTCCACACGCAACTGGCTAACGAATTGCACAAACCCAGACGAGTGCATTTCAAAAGACGCAAGGTGAAGAGCAGGTCTGTGGATCACATCTGGAGTGCCGATCTAGTGGATATGCAACGGTTTGCCCGAAGCAACAAGAACTACAAATTCCTGCTGACCGTCATCGATCTGTACAGTCGCTATGCCTGGGCAGTACCCCTGAAAACCAAAACTGGCTCTGCTGTCAGGGATGCATTCGACCTGATCCTGAAAACATCGAACAGGGTACCACAAAAACTATGGGTAGACGAAGGCAAGGAGTTCTACAATGCAACAATGAAGCAATGGGTCAAGGATCACAACATCATCATGTACAGCACCCACAACGAAGGAAAAGCCGTGGTGGTGGAACGCTTCAATAGAACACTGAAAGGCAGAATGTGGCGCCATTTCACGGAGAAAGCTACGACACAGTATCTTGACGTCCTTCCTCAGCTTATGGCCAAGTACAACAGCTCGAAACATCGCAGTATCGGCATGAGTCCCACGAAAGCTTCTCTTGATGGAAAACCAAAAGATGCAGACGTACACTCGAAGCAATCACCAGCTAAATTCAAAGTGGGTGATGATGTGCGTTTGGCTGTGGCTAAACGTCATTTCGAGAAAGGGTACACGCCCAACTGGACAGAGGAAGTGTTCGTGGTAAACGATGTCCTACCCACTGTACCCCACACCTATCGTGTTCAAGACCTGATGGGAGAAGTCATTCAAGGACAGTTCTATGGAGCTGAGCTACAACATGCCAGACACACAGGATTGAGATTCGATAAGGTGTTGAAATACAACAAGAACAGTCGGCTCGTCAAATGGAAGGGTTATCAAGACGAAAAATTCCATACCTGGTTAACAAAGAAGGATGTGAATGATCTCAAAAAGTATTAGCATTTCATATGTACAATGTAGCTCATGCTTTGGATTAACGTGAATATTATGAATCGCATAGTATTTACAATGTATTTCATGAGAAGATATGACATATGCTCTAGTATGTGTGGAAATCCCTCAGTGCTTTGGAATATCCTTGTGTCCGAATGCCAGGGTGTTGATACCATCCTCCAGAATGTAACGCTTACTGTCGAATCCACAGAGGGCAATCTTGTGTAGCTCCTCTCCGTGAATGCAATGTCGTCGACTTCGAAGAACATTCATTGTTCTCTTCAGCTGAGACTCCTCGACGAGACATGTTCGATAATCATCGACGGTTATGGTGTTTTTCAACACGCTTCTCTGCACACCTTTGGCACGCTTGCCATTGTCGTCGTTGTCTTCACAGCGGTATGCGTACATCTTGCTCCGCAAACCAATGAACTCCTTGATGGGTTTGCCACCTAGTTCGTCCTTGAACTTCCCTACCACCTTCTTGTTGACCGTGCTGTACAGGTGGTGGGATGGTGAATAGTTGGATGTGTCATAGGCTGTTATGTTGTTTGACATATCGGTGTACAGATCATCCGTTTGAATATGTACGATCAGACTATCAGTATCAGTGTAGAGCAAACGTACATTTTGTCCATAGCGGGGTAGGAGAACTTCATAGTAAAAGGAATACATCAAGTGCTTCGACAGATCGAGGATGGCTGTACCCACATAAATGGGTTTATTGAGAGTCACCTTTGTCTTGGCAAACTCGATTGCTATCAGATCGTTCTCAAAGGCTACACTGCGGATGTACGAAGGTTTGTTGATGCTTTTCTGGAGACGTGGTTTTTCATCCTGTTCACGAATGAGCTTGATGTTTACTCTGTTTCGAACGTTTTCCATGGTCTTGCCATATACAGCATTGTTCATCAACTACGATAAACAGGCATACAAAGAAAAGACAAGAAAAACAACAATAAGAAAACTGTTATCTTCAGGTCATTCACACTTCCAGTACATACTAGATCCCACACTATCGCTAAATACACACACACACACACACATGATGTGGAGTACCCACCTTATAGAAGTCTTTCTCGAAATCAGAAGTTGATAGCTTTCTCAGGTCAGTATTAGTGTCGATGTATGGCTTCATCCATGGGTGTTGTGTGAAGGAGAGCACACGATGCACATCTGTAATCTCCACACCCAAGGACACATACTGCTGCAAGTTTCTGTAGTGCAGAACATAGTGCTCTTTCGGTAGTAGATTTGGTACCAGTTTCTTCGCTTCCAAACCGGTCACCTACAAGAGTACAGTATAGATATACACAAACCTTAGAAGATTAATACAAGCATATCCACCAGATAGACCATGACTTACCATTAGTTTCTCTGCCATGTGGGTCTGATATGGAGAAAGCATATCTCGTGTCACCTTCATCTTCTCAGGAGCCAACGGATAATCATTCATCATGTCATGCACACCATCTGGAATCCTTAAATCGCACTCCACCATGTATCCCGTCGAAGAGTCCATTGGATGATCGAGTACCGTCTCCAGAAGATCATCCGTCACTGCTTCAAAGCAGAAGTCCGACACGGGCAAGGGTTGAGACATGGCCCATCCATATAGATTGTTCGCATCTAAATATTGGATGAAGCTTGACGGCTCGTCTGGATTGTACTCCGATAGATATCTGTTGTTGGCGGTGGCGTGTCTAGCGGACACCATGCTTATGCCACCTCTTTTGCCATGCTCAATGAAGTTGAACATGTCAATGTCGGAAATGAGATGAAGGGACACCTTCGTCATTTTCAGCAGCGAATCCCAGGCAAATCCCGGTAAGGTGAGGTAATTAGCGGGATCCAATCCATAGGTTGCGTGAGCAGTTCTTCTGAAGTTTTCGAAAACGTCAGCCAACAGCAGCACATCAGTCTCCAGGTAGAGGTCGTGATAGTCTCCTAGATCTTCACAGTCAAACGCAGTCCATACTGTTTGCGCATAGGCATAGTCTTCATCACTGATACCCTAGGGAATAGAAAATGTACACCAAAAAGAAAAACAAATCAACGAACTTATTTTAGTAGTTCGCCCACACAATCAATTATTTAGTATGAAGCTGCAGGAAGCGTTCAAACACATTTTGTCTTATTTTAGTACTTCGAAGTAAGATGGTGAAAAAAGAAAGAGAGAAAGATCTACTATATCTATCACACTACTCACCGTGTTCGTTAGCGTTGAGTGGAATGCATCCTTGGGTGGTAGACGCGTTTCTTCGAATTGGTCGTACGACCCCATATATTCATACGGGTAGACACCCTTTCGTGTCAACAGTTTGCGTTCATCCTCGTCTGGAAATCGTGCGGATAGAAGGGCGAATGCATCTGGTGGTGTAGCCGAAACCAACCGGTCTAGGGAGGTGTTCAAGAATGCCAGGCTGTCGATGAACTGGAACTGTCTCCATCCGAATGTGACATATTTTTCACTGTTGATGGGAATCACTTTGATAGCACCGAGACGCTTGGTCTGAGAAGAAAGAAAAAGAGGAGACACAGTTTTAAGGTGCAGCTGTAAAGATGAATATCAATCATATAAACGTGAATATGAGTACCAACATAGTAATGATCTTCCTTCTTAGAAAAACATCATGATCCACGCACACGCACACACACACACACACACACACACACACACACACCACGCATATGTAACGTACCCGTTCTTGTCCTTTCTCGTTCACATACGTAATCTCATCAGTGGATGTTCTCCCAATGGCAGATATGATGTGATGAGAATCGTATCCCTTCAAGTTATGAAAGATCACAGGAATCTTGATCTTGAACGGCTCAATCCGCATGTTCAGGTTACAATGGTTGTGTGCTGCACCACGGTAAGCACCGGTGATGTGACAGTGGTCACGTACACGATCGCTACCCAACGCTTCACCACAGATCCAACAGGAGACTACCGTTTCAAATTCACGTTGCTGACTTTCTGAAATGATCATTTGACCAGCATTACATGCTAGAAGCTCATCACGGATAGTCTCCTCCTCTTGCTCAAGTGACAGCAGAAAACAGAACATAGAATCTTCTCCACGGTAGAAGAAACGGTTCGTGACGACGCCATCAGATCGTACTACAATGTACGAACAGGAACAGGCTACATGCTTGTTCTTTTGGAATGTCGAATGACCGATTTTCTTGACAGCGGACAGAGGTTCTATGAAGGCCTCACAATCGGCATAGATCACCTGCATTTGAGAGAGAGAGAGAGAGAGAAGTAGGAATAGCAGCAGGGACAACACCGAGTAAAACAGCGGAAAAGACAGATAGAGAATTAGGAATAGCTGCAGAGACAACACCGAGTAAAACAGCAGAAAGGTGAACAATCAGAGTCAAGAAACATGTGCAGGAAAGAAAAGAAAAGAAAAAAAAAAAAAGAAAAGAAAAGAAAAAAAAAAAAAAAAAAAAAAAAAAAAAAAAAAACAGACCACAGTGTGTTCACCTTGATTAAATGTTCTACTTACAAATGGGGCTTGAAGCTGCTTGTTCACATTCCTGAACATCACTCTATCGCCAGCCTTTGGCATCTTCACCGTGGCTTCAGGATGTTCACTGCAGTACATCATATGATTATTCAATGCCTTCTCCGTGACGTGTGTTGAGAGACATCTGAAGCAGACGAAATGTGCTCGACGTGCTCCAGTAGCAACAAGACGACTGAATGATTTTATCCACACCCAGTGCTGCACCTCCACGTCATTGCGTTCGTCTTGGATGAGCAATACATTGATGGCGGTCTGCGGATGCTGAGAAATTCTTAACGGATATATGACTTTCTCTTCATATCCGAAGACGTTGATGTAAAGACCGTCGTTCAGTCTTTCGATGACTGGTATGTCTTCCAGTTTTGCTGGAAACTCGATGCCGCTCACATCCACAGTATCCGCATGTTCTGCGTACGACGATTGACGACATGGATGAGACTTGTCTGCCGAAAATTTAGCAGCCAGTATTGACCATCTAAAGTACGGATGACATAAGACATGGACAGGCGGCATACAGTTCAATCCATACACCGTATCACCACACTGAAACCCCACTGCTATACTTACAGTAAACACTTGTTGTCAGTGTTCTGCACGTTAACAATGGCCTTCTTCGACTTCAACTCCGGTGGCAAGGGGATGTACGAACTTCCTCCAAGTACACAGTAGCGTGACATTTCGATGTGTAAACAGGAAATCCGTTCAACTACCCAACCTGATCCATGACGAACGAAATCATCAAGACGAGCGTTGATCTGAGCAATCATCCTACTGAGAAGATCCCTCAGCTCCATGGTGTTGAGCACCAGCGTTGTACTCGATCGGAAGAAGAATGTGTTGGAAACCATTTGTCCTGTAGCAGGATTCAGCTTCTGCATCACCACCTGAACTACCAAAGAACACTTGTACTGACCCCATTGCTCAATATTCTCTTCAAGAAGCAGCTCCAGCGACGGTAGAACATGAGAGAAAAACTTTAGTACATCTGCAAACTCTTGATCAGGACAATAACTAAAGAATTGCAACAGATCAGATGATCTCACTACATCAAAAGACTGACGAGGTTTCTTCCGAAGGGGTTCCATCCTGAGCAGGGGTGGTGGCGGACAACCACACAATGGCTTGACAAGGTACCGAGGATCTATTTTTATAGGGTTTTCGTAATAGTTGAATTCGGAATAACTGGTTGTTTTTCAATTAACCAATCCACTCATCTCCCGCTGGAAACAATTAACCACTTACCGCACTTCCCGCTGAAAACATGTGACCAATTAGCGCACTTCCCGCTGAAATCACGTTCATCCTTTTATCGCGCATTGACCCATGTTCCACACTTCACAGTGAAATCAGTGCTGCAATGATGTACTGTGACGTCAATGCATGGATGCATGATCTGTGCATCTGAGGTCAAGATGAATCCGGTATTCCAGCAGCTAAAAGTTCGAGAAAGAATTGTTGTATGTCGAAAAGAATTATACGAGAGGAAAGCTAGAAAATGATCCGAAAAATTGAAATTACAAGTCAAAATACTGCAAAACTATGAGTTCTGATTAATATAAAATTGGAAAAAGTGAGATAACATTGACATTTGAAATAGTAATATTTTAGACATCGGAATGCAATATTATGATGTAGGGTAGGACATATTACCCACACCCTAAAAATCAAAATTAATGATACATGTAGAATTCCAAATCATGACACCATATTACCTTATTGTTTAGGGTAGAGCATAACACCCCAATACATATTTTCAATAATACCCCCTTTTTTTGAGGTAGGGGCACCCCCTGGCTCATATTTTTATCCGCAAAAAAACCGGGCCAAAAATAATTTTCACCGCAAAAATGGGGTACTATTAGTACCCCATTTTTCAATAATACCCCATTTTTTGGGACCCGGGCGCCCCCTGGCCCAGAACCCGCTCGTCCATTCCTACTCACCACGGAGGGCGAAAATATATCTAAGTCATGCAGTTTACGGGAGCTACGAGCTGTCATGGATATAGAGGCTGATATTGTGCCAGCGTGAGGGCAGAGACAGAAAGAAGACACTGATTTCTTGAACAACTCACCTATATATAATCGAATCCACAAGGAGCGCTCATACTTTGATCCATCAGGACGCGAAACATCTTCAAAGCACTCTCAAACACGGAGTTTTACTGTGGGCAGCCAATTTCACAGCCAACATGAAGGCACTCGACGACTACAGGAGTTTTGTAGAGGAAAGAACAAGGAGTAAAGAGCGACAACAATCGCTTGAAGAAAAAGCAAAGAAAAACAACTGTCTCTCCAGTCATTTAGATGCTGTTGCCCTTGACATCTGGTTCCATCCAGAGGACGCGACTTTTGTTTGTCCCCAGTGCTCTCCGTTGCTATGCGTATCGAAGGAGCCGTGACGTCACACTTAACAGCCCCATACCAAGAGTAGATAAACAAGAGTGTGCAACTGCCTGCACAACCTCTATGCTGTGCTGCGACGGCAGAACTTCACATCACGTGACATGGTTCAAAAGGTTATGCTGGCAAACAGTGCAAAGTGACCACAAGAGAGTTGTACCCAAAGCTGGGCTGCGTACAACCAAGAGTACATGAAAACCAGAGTGTGCAGCTTGGGGCCTTTTCTGCTATGGGTGTCTGTCACGGCGAAATTCCGTGATTACATCATATTTGGCCCAGATATCCGAGGCGGGAAATGGCGTAGTGCGTACAACTGAGCTGCAGTTGTGCAGAAAGAGACCTGCTTGAATCCTGCTTGTACGCACTACATCACTAAAATGATGTAATCACGGAATTTCGCCGTGACAGCAACCCATCCGAGCTGCACACTCTGGTTTTCATGTACTCTTGGTACAACCCAGTATCTATCATGCACTAGAGTGCACGGGTTCATCACGTGATGTGAAGTTCTGCCGTCGCAGACTAGGCAAAGCCCGATTTTGCCAGGGAAGGTTCGATATTTTGCCGCAAAATTTTGCTGGCTCATCGTCGATATTTTGCTTTCATTTTGCCAGGCCACTCGATATTTTGCTCCCTTTTTGCTCCAAAATTTGTGTCACGTGTGAGAAAACTGACCGAAAGTGGGTTACGTGTTGGCAAAAATGAGAAAAAGTGAGTCACGTGTTGGTAAAACTGTGCCGAAATGAGTCATGTGCACCGTATATGTGTAAAATCTCCCAATTCCCAGCCAACACACCGATATTTTGCTCCATTTTGCCAGCAAATTCCCTTCCAAAATTCTTCGATATTTTGCTAGCAGAATTGCTAGCAAAATCGGGCTATGCCTATCGCAGACCCCATAGCTGGAGTTGCACACTCTTGTTTATCTACTCTTGATAATACTCATTATTTTTTTTTTTTATTTATTTTTTTTTTTTGTAGATCAGATCATGCATTCAATAACATGTTATTAATAAAGACAGGACAAGTGAATAATTAGTCAGTCCATTGTTCATGATGATCTCCGACGGTTACGTCGGCAAGCGAGCCTCCGCCACTGCCAAAGCAGCGTGGGCTCCGCAGGAGGGTGCAAATTTCAAACCAAAATTTAAACGCCTACAACCGCGAATGCACATGATACAGGATTTCAGAAGGCTGAAGGAAATCCTGCATCTAACAAATGCCATAACATGAGAGTAATGCTCACCCCTCTTCTCCGCCAACAGATGAGCAATTCGTTTGTACAGTGCTGTTGATGCCGGACCCATTCCGCCACTGGCTGACATGACCGCCGGAACAAAGGAGGCTTGCTCAACCTGCCTCACCCGCTCCTCATAGTGCCTTCTCTTTTCTTTTTCATGTCGCTGATACACAATAGTATGTGGTGCAGATCGATTTGAGCGTGAGTGAGGATTAAAAACCCGTATATCAATAAGTGTACGCTCAAAACGACTGCCCCACAAACCATTGGCAGCGACATCCAACCGGGCACGGTCTTCCACACACTCATTATCGGCCCTAGTCAGGGCCCAGTGCTCGGAAGTTTTGTAATGCGCTACTGTCATGCTACGTCATGTATGTAGATTTTAGGGTCTAGAGTACAGACTCGAGATACATGTACATGTACAGTGCGTATCGGTTATAGCGTGGTCGTGTAAAAGAATATACATGTACTGCCAACAAGAATGAACTCTCATGTTTTCATAATCATAACATGGATTTCAAGTGCACATTAAAATTTTTTATTCTTACAAGCAATTTTATCCCATAGTAGAATATATCGGTCCTAAGAATGGACTTTGTGTAGCGAAACATGCCAGATTAGTACAAAGTGTATCGCCTGTAGTAATAACATCTGTCCAATTCCGTTCTGATCTGACTCTCGTTGCGTCGTCACTTCATTCAACTGTTGTGGTCATGTTACTCATTTTGCATAGCCACAATCATGGTAAGCCTATGGCGAGTATGGGACTATGACCAGCCACATGCACAGAAGTACTGCGTTGCATGTAGATCTACGATGATCTTCCTGCCCCTGCGCACATGCATGTGATATACCACACTTGATTTATCGTGTGTAAGAAATATCGGAAAAAAGAATAGAAAGTCGTTTTTCAAGCACCCACGATACCTACTGTACATTGACTGATTTGTACAATCATATACATATACAATCATCATATACAATCATGGGGATTCTGGAATGGCATGTACATGTACTGAGTCTGACTGTAGTCTGTAGATCTACATGTACATCACCACACTCTTTTGTAGCAGGGAGGAGTAAAAATACCATAATGGTATACATGTACATGTACATGGTATATTACTCCTTAGGCCTAGGCCCTGGTTTGTGGTCAAAGAACTACTGTAACTTTATTTTAAAAAATCCATGATTTGTAAGAAAGGGTTTGCTCCCCACACCGGAGCTCGCGCTATTCCGCCGACTTGATTGTACGGAAAAATGAATGGAAGAATCCGGACGAAAGTCAACGCATGCTTATACTTGTTATAGTCAGGCGCGTGCTCGGCGATGGGCACGGGGGGGGGGCACGTGCACCCCCAAAAATTTTCAATCTGGGTATTTGCAATTGTAATGTATGCAAATATGCTCTAAAATTCAAGAAAGGTTGCAAACAAATTGCAGAAAATTGTCGGGGGGGGCTCCCCTCGGCTCCCGTGCACCCCCCTAGTTGGGGGGCCGAGCACGCCCCTGATAGTTATCATGGTCATCGCACTCACGTCAAAGCTGTACACACTACATACAGTGTCAGTACTGTACATTACTGTACACACTACTGTACACAGTACTGTGCGAGTGTACTGGCCCTGGTTTGTAGTGTCATGTTGGCTGTTTCACTAACTAACTAATACTTGGGGGTTCAATGAACGCGAGGGCAACACAAGTGACAAGGGCTTGGAAGCCTTGGTTTGCATGGGTTGGTTGGAGGCCGAGCTGCGACCACTGTGGAAGCGGAGTGAAGACTCCCGGAGTGGCGGAGTCCCGGACATGACATGACATCGACAGGGTCAGGAGGCCAGTGCGCACTAAAAAGTAAAAGAGTCCTCACTGCTCCCTGCAGCCTACACTGGGCTACAGGCTGCAGACCAGTGGCAGTGCAGTACAGTCATCGTGGTCATGTACGATGTAGTCTGTTGCAGTAGCATGGTTAGTGTTATCATGGTTATTGTAGATCTACACACAGACGACGTACTTGTCTACAGCTACCATGTAGATCTACCAGCCAGCAGTGCATGAACACCATGAACACACTCAGCATAGGCTAGCACAGCGCCGGCAGTGCCCTGCCCGGGGTTCTTTTCACATCCCCTACATGATTGTAGTCCTTTGATTTTGAAGCTTCTGCTTCACGCGAATCGCGAATCGCATTGCTCAGTCACGGTTTGGTCTGTTTGCGCGACGAAATCTGACCAGCTGGACGGTATGGTGAGGGAGTTTAGTTAGAGTAGGTAGCTGTTGATGGTGTTGGCAACGCATGCTGTCGCTCGCTAGCTGACAGTAGCATGCCGAGAGAGATGGACTCAGAGCTCAACGCCCGGTCTTGTTGAATCGTAAACTGTCTCTGATCGTGTGTGCATATGCGTTTGTTGTGTCGATTGAATCCACGGGGATGAGTATGTGTGATCGCTGCTGACTGCAGAATCCCCAGCAGTAGCTTGTGGCGGACTGGATCTCCCAGTTGTCGTGACGTGAGTCGGTTACTTCTGATGGCAAACTTCAGACTTGGCGAAGAAGGCTACGATTTCGCGCCCGAGTTGCCATCTGGAAACACTCCGCCATTATTTCGCAGCGGTAGATCGGGTAGCGGTCGAGGACAGGACCATGGACGACCGATTTCTGAGCCGTTCGCACCTTCGAGTGTACACAGTTATTCTAACCATGGTTCAACAGGAGTGGCGTTGGGCCTGGGAATAGGTCAGCCGCGTAGAGGCAGTGTGGGTAGCAGCAGCACTGCGAGTGCGTCGAGTGCAGCTCCTACTTCTGCGAGTGTTGGTACTGCCACTCCTACTGGCTCAGGGCAGTTGAATCGTCACAATGGAGCAGCAAGTGTCAGCAGCAAAGCGACGGCAGGCCACATGCCATTCAGAGTCAAGTTCATTCTGGCGGATAGCGCCAGTGGTAGCGGAGGCAGTGGCGGTGGTGGTGAGATGCGCAGTGTGCTGGTCAGTCGACCCCTCAGCTGGATAGACTTCTGCAACAAAGCCCAGTCTACATTCCAGCAGCTACGAGACAGGCCATTGCCGACTCTGTACTACATGCGTGACTCCGGCGGGGCACCACCGTACGCTATTCGCAACCAGGACGACATTTCGGCCATGGAGGCCAGTCTGCCGTTCGATGCCAGCTGTATACGAATTCAGATTGCACTTGATCCGCCGCCACACAGCGTGTATGATCCGCACGGCCGACCTGTTAGCAAGTGTCGGTCGAATTTGAGCTCGTCACCGCGCACGTATACTCGGCAACCTCTTGTACCGACTGACCTTGACCGCAAGCCTAAACTAACCAAAGCTATATCGGAACCAAGCCGCACAGTGTCCAGTTTTGAGCCAACCTCAGACTTCCATGAATACAACTCACTGCAACTGCCACCGATGCTGGTCGAAGAGCACCTCATGCAGCATATTGACTTACAGGGTGCGGCAAGCTCCAACATTCGTGATGATGGTCCAGCACCAGGGACGTATGGAAGAGCAGCACCGTACCATGATACGGGTCCACCACCTGGGAGCATGCTGCTTCCAACCGGCAAGTTTGTGCGACAAGAGTCCAACAGCCCGTCGGTGTTTGAGGGCGGAGGAGAATTCATCCCCGAGACAGACGATGCCGCAGATCAAGGCAGCGAACGGCATGGTCAGAAGAAGATATACGCGGTGCACCCGGCTCATGACCACTGGGTTGGCGAAGAAACAGGTAGTGTTGGCGCTGTGGCAAGAGATGTAGATAACCTGAGTATAGGCAGTGAGGACATACTGCCCCGGCATGCTTCAGTAACAACTGGCAGCCCTCGATTAGATCGACAGCTACATGCACCACCGGGTGTTGACCTGACAGTTGAGCACAGGACTTCTCCCAGTAAAGCTGAAATCTCAGTTTCACCTCTGACCCATTCTGCGACGGGCATTGACAGCCTGACGTCCACAACATCATCCACCAGTGCTAACAGTGGTGAGCGAGACCACGACTCTGTACACTCGCTCAAGGTATCCGCTGATCATAATCCTGAAGGCGGCATGCCGGATCGATGGAAGCGAGGTCGCCAGCTGGGCAGCGGAGCGTTTGGGACAGTGTACCTATGCCATGATATCGACACGGGTCGAGAGCTGGCCGTCAAACAAGTCGACGTCGGCAACCTCGGCTCTGAGATGCGCAAGGAGGTAGCGATCCTGCAGGCGGAGATTGAACTACTGAAGAAGCTGTTGCATGATCGCATTGTGTCCTACGTGGGCGTTCATAGCGGCGGTGGCATTCTGTCTATCATGATGGAGTACATGGCCGGTGGCTCCATCCATGCTTATCTCAAGGAGAATGGGCCGCTGACTGAGAGGCTGACGCGCAAGTACACACTCCAGGTGCTGGAAGGTCTGCACTACCTGCACAGCCAGAGAATCATACACCGCGATGTCAAGGGTGCGAACATTCTACGCGACCTGCACGGTAACGTGAAGCTAGCTGACTTTGGTGCGTCGCGCAGCCTGCAGACCATCAAAAGCATGTCATGTCTGAAATCTGTACACGGTACACCGTACTGGATGAGTCCAGAGGTAAGTCAACTGTCACACGGGCACTCTTTAACTTTGGTCCAGAGTGTTTTATTGATTTCTCTTTTTGCAGATTGCACTGTGCTAGTCATGCACTCAAATAGTTGTTGTGGCAACAGGAGACGTGACTGGACTGATGACGGGGGCCGGGGGGAAAGTGTGAATGTGCAACATGTGTGCGTAGGTATGTGTGTGTGTGGGGGGGGGGGGGGGGGGGGGTTATGCTACGAGTATTTTAATTTTTTAATGCAACATTGATGGCCGGATCAATGCATGCATGTCTTCCTGGCTCAGGTGTTGATGACATGCAGTGTGTTGACCTTGGCTAGTGTTCCTTTACCTACTTTGCACGGCTTGTAGTGAGATGTATGCGCTCGTAATGTTCTTGACACCATTGATTTCCTAGCTAAAGCTGAAGCAGCTACTAATCAAGTATACATCATGCTTCTGCAATCCAAGGCTAAACGAAAAAGCCTCGGAATGCGAGCAAGAAGGAGCTGTAATGTTCTGATTTGTGTTCTCTGGTTTGTGTTGGCTAGGTGCTGAATGGCAATGGGTACAATGAAACTGCAGACATCTGGAGCCTGGGCTGCACCGTTATTGAAATGATCACCGGCAAACCACCGTGGGGTGACCTAGAGCCCATGGCTGCTCTGTTCCGCATTGGAACGTGCCAGTCAGGCCCGGACCTGCCACAGAGTGTATCGGTGGCGTGCACCAGGTTTATGGAGTACACATTCCAGCGCACACCAGAGCGGCGTGCCAGCGCTGCTCAGCTGCTCAAGACTGAATTCATTGCCTCACTGGCAGCAACTAGCTAGCTCAGTGAATAATGCCTTGATGGAGCCGTGGATAATCTGCCTCAAGGTATCGGCTTCCTGGGCATTCCGGTTTGTAGCGCCTGTGCCACCACCAGCATGCCAGCAGTGCGGGAATGAAGATGAAGGACCACTGGACAAGCGCTCCTTGATACCTGTACTGGAGTACAATGTATTCTCCATGCCATTGTGTCCTTCTGAACCAAGTTGATTACGTCCTAGCGCTACTTGAACAGATTGCATGCTGCCCACCCTGCTAGTAGCTGTTTGTCTTATGCACGCATGTGTGCAACAACGGTACGCCCACAATTTGTGTTGACTTCAATCGTCAACAACTTGACACAGAGTCCATCTATTTGATATATTTCATTGCGGAAAAAGGTCAGAGTTAGGTTTCTTATCTCGATTGTCTCGGTGATGGAATGACGAAACAGTCTGAGTTATTTTATTTTGCCCACTTCTCAGAATCCTATTTTGTGATGGTGTGATTGTAGCACAAGTGCCCCAAAAAGAGAGAAAAAAGAAGGAAGCTTGCACCTATGCTGACGAAGGTTCACTTACTGCCTGGCACTTGTACAGCTGAGCTCTTATCTTGTAAGCTTGGTGTGTACTGCACAGGATTAGTCCGTTATCTCTCTCCAAAGCCGAACTCTGGTGTATACATGTAGTGCACGGTGACCGACAGTCTGTGCACCATCATGGTATTGCTTTACTCATGCACTACTATTCAACTGAGACACGTGTGGACTGGTACCATCCCCTCAGTAGGGCCTGTTTACACGAGAAGAACACGTATTTTGTAGTCTTGTGCGGGAGTCATTCACCGTGCATGTGTTGAGTGCAAATTGACAAAAGTGACAACTAGAATAGATTGATGCAATATTTTGCAAAACGAAAAAAAGTTTTGTTTCGTGTAAATGATCGATGTACTTTGTTTTCAATAAACATGCCCTACGCGTATACGGTAACTGTTACTTGCAGACTGCAAGTTTAGTTGCTACAGACGTACATGTATCTAGATGTACACCGCAGAAAAGCGCTCCTATCATTTTTTTTACATTTACATACGGCCATGTGCATTGTGTAGCCACAAGCTGACTGCCAGACTACAGACCAGAACACAGTGTGAGCACAGTGTAAACACCAATGCCTAGGCCACAGACCAGAACACAGTGTGAGCACAGTGTAAACACCAATGCCTAGGCCACAGACCAGAACACAGTGTGAGCACAGTGTAAACACCAATGCCTAGGCCACAGACCAGAACACAGTGTGAGCACAGTGTAAACACCAATGCCTAGGCCACAGACCAGAACACATTCTCGCAGTAGTAGACAGTAAAGACATTTGCAGTAGTGGAAGTAAATCAATGTCAATGCCAAGGCAAAGAGCTATTTACATGTTTTACGTAGCTTGAAGAGTAGCATGGCGGGCTCAGATGCAATGTACATTGGACGTAATATCTACAAGCAGCATTCGGAAAGCAGAATACGTCAACGAAAAAGAAACGAGGCACACACAATGTGACAAAGTAAAGTAAGTAGAAGAAAAATATGGAGGGGCGCAAAATGAGTATGGAAGATACATGATTCCCTCCGCATTTCAGCAAAGAGGAAGAAGATTTTTTAAAGTATGTGCAGCAGCAGCAGCAGTAAGAGACAACAGCCACTAGACTGAGCATGTACAATATTGGTGCGCGGCAGGCAGCAGCATTGAAGAGCAGCAGCAACAGACTTGCAGCAACAACAGTATCCACGAGCACAGAGACAGAAAAGAGGAAAGCGCTGCAACAGCGAGTGAGCCAGCCAGACGTTTTCCCTGACAATTTGCAACCTATGTGACGAAAAAGAGCTGGATGGGTGCGGAGGGTGGGGAAATGTAAATACACAGGGGGGGGGGCATCGAGCAGAAATTGTGGTGTGGTGGTGGGGGGAGAGAGGGAGGGGGTATTTCACGATGTTTTTACAAGGTCAAAGTCCGTTATAGGCCATTGGCCGTGCGGTCAGGCAGCATGAGCCACTGACAAAAAATTACCTCTGTGTGCTAACTTCAAAAAATGTTGCTACCATGCCAGAAATGAAATGTAGTATATCCATGAGGTTAAAGTTAAAGAAAAGAAATCTTTCTATCTGTGAAGCCACTGGGTCTCAATACCGAGACAGCAACTCTAAATGCTACAATTTAAAGGAAATGAAAATGAAATGCTAAGTCTTGAGACCTTCCAGCCCGGAGTACCGTCACAAGAGTGAACCAGCCGCCAGCGGCTAGAGTCGGATACATTGTTTGGGCCGAACAGAATTAGTAACTATGGATTGCAAGGGGTTCTCACACGGAGATATCACGGGGGATATAGACTGAACCGACTTACTGCTACCATTGCTACTTGACGGGAAAGAAGCCATGGATACTGCTGTTGCTGCTGCTACTGCTGTTGCCTTCTGCACCAGTGGCTTTGCAAGCAAACTGGATTCAACATGTTGGATATTGGCTAGCTGGCTCTCTTGCAGTGGATGCGACTTCAATGCCAGAGCTGATACAGCGGGCTTGCGCTCCTGGGCTGGTCGCTGCACTAGGGGAGAAGGAAACCTAGACACGACGGGCTTGGCAACTAGGTTACCTATAGGTGCGGCAGCAGCATTGCAAGCTGCACTTGAAAGCGATACTGCCGATGGTAGTACGCTTGTGGCAGTAGTGAGAGCATTCTGAGAAGCAGCCAGTTGAGGTTGCAAGGCCAACAATGATGGGGTATCATTGGCCGCTGTGAAGATGTGCTGCGATACTGGACACTTTCGTGTCACTTGAGAGCATTCGGATGCAGCCGTGGATGCTCGGGCAGGAAGTAATGCAGGTGCAATGCGAGGCTGTCTGTGCATTTCGTAATAAACCATCAGCTTTGGCGAGGAGATAGGTGCAGGTCTCTCAGCTGGAGCCATATTCTCTGCAAGAACAGACCACAGTAAAAAAGTCATGCATACTGTGTTTTCCATGACAATTCAAAAGTTCTTATCTACTGTAAAACTGGAAAATTTCGGTACCTTTGGTACAGATAATTTTTACCTAAAATAAAACGCGAACTAGAATTCAACAATGCCATACCACACAGGGTGCAAAATGCATTTTGGATCTGGAAAACTGGTTCACCAAAACTTTCGCGCTACTGAACCAATGATTTTGGGTAATACCGAAAACATTACACCACCGAAAATTCCCGGTTTTACAGTAATACATTTGCCTTCTATCTAAAGCACTTTGTTTCTTGCCTCTTTATACACATCATGGAATATATTTTAACCATTGTGTATGCGGCTAGCCTTCAGGCATAATTTGTTGCAATTTGTTACACAAAAGCAATCCAATATCAGTTCCAGCAAGAAAGAGCATGACGGCAGAGTGTACAACTCGCCATGCCACATGGGTTCAGGACGGCGTAATCAGTCGCTTGCGTCATGTTCGACATGAAGAAGATAGGGTAAAAAGTAAAAAGAACCTGATGTCACTCACCCCGGTCAGTGGATATCTGTGAAGTTGACACACTCGCTCTAGGAATACTGGCACTCACAGCCGTCACGGAACACGGTGCTGAAGGCACAACAGCCGAAGCACTGGAGGCACGGGGCAGCATGCGGCACACATCACTAACCAAACTTCCACAAGCCACTGGCTTCTTGGCCGGTCGCGGTGCCTCAGAATTGATCTCAGATATGATGGTCACCATGTGCAACGGTGCTTTTGCTGGTGGCTCCAAGGAAGCAGCTGAGATAGGTACATGTGTTTCGCATGCCGGTGAAGTGACAACCTGCAAGTGAAACATGAAACGAAGGAAAACCAATCAGCACAGCAGCTCTCATCAGGCTGCTCAGGTTGTCAATGCCAATAAGATATCATTGCCCAAGCGTCCAGCTCCAAGTTCTAACTGACTGTGTAGTCCTGTGCACAAGAATTGGTCTAGACTCAGTCTACAAAGCTTTGAGAATTGGTCTAGACTCAGTCTACAAAGCTTTGAGAATTGGTCTAGACTCAGTCTACAAAGCTTTGAGAATTGGTCTAGACTCAGTCTACAAAGCTTTGAGAATTGGTCGAGACTCAGTCTACAAAGCTTTGAGAATTGGTCTAGACTCAGTCTACAAAGCTTTGAGAATTGGTCTAGACTCAGTCTACAAAGCTTTGAGAATTGGTCTAGACTCAGTCTACAAAGCTTTGAGAATGGGTACTTGGTAGAAGAAGCTGCAAGGTTTCCAAGACCACCTCGGTCCTCGCACGCATCACATTCACACCAGTCAGTCGATAGTACAGGCTATCCACCAGATCATGCAGTGTGTACAATGATACTCACAAATGTACAACTGGCTGCACCTGCTAATGCCCCCCCCCCCCCCCCCCTCAGGCTGCAATGGACATGTTTCGATTACTGTATAAGCAGAAAATTTCGTCGGTCAATAATTTCGTCCAACTCCAAAGAAAGGGAGTTCGTCCGGTTGTAAATTTCGTCCATGGATCATAAGAGTGTATTGAAAAGCTGGACAAATCAATATTAGTCCGGCATTTATTTTAGTCCAACAGCTCGTTGGACGAAAAAGACGAAATTAAATTCCAGACGAATATTTCTGCGTGTATAGTACACAGTATGCACCCAGGTTTCAATTCTTGAAATTACCAGAATGAATGGATTACGGCCATGGAAACAAACAACTGAAATTGATCACGCCTTCTGCTCGTGCCGCACTAGACAAAAATCATGGAAAGCGATCACGTATGCTCTCGTACATTCAAACTGGGCAACATCGATTCAACACTTCACCACAAGTTGCAAGAAGAAGAGACCGACATTGTTGATAGTTCACGTTCTCTCGAGGTTCTCAACCTACTGGGAAGTATGCAAGTGATACTAGTGCCACGTGACGTAAAACACGTATGCGAATGATCCGTATAGGTCTCCATTATAACTAATAATAAGCGCTGTGCTTGTCCGAAGCGCCTTTCGAGTGCGCTTACAATAATAGAGACTGCACCATTACAAGACACTGCACTTGTAATAGAGATAATAATACGTAGGATCGATAAGAAATCAGTGCTAGCGCTTGAAACCATGAAGACAGCTTCTGGTTTCCGAGTCGGACCACCGTTTAGCAGCAATCTCTGCTGCTGGTAGAATTGACGGATTTAGTTCCCGCTAATTCTGGTGAGATTCGTGCAATCGAATGGTGCATGCACCATACAGAATTCTAGAGTGGATAGAATTGTGTGTAAATCAAACGCGTCCAATGTACGCGCGTCACTCCAAAACTCTACAAATACAATCATATAGAGAATCTCCCTCTACCGCTCTGAGGCCAATGGCTGATATGTCGAACTGCTCATAACTGGCAAACCCACCCAAGCACTGTCGGGTGGCAATGAACGAACATGCTAGAAATTTACCAGATGCACATAATCAACTATATAAAGATTTCTACATTTTCTGGCTTTACTACTTCTACTTACAGCCGTTTCACCCGCACACATCTTGTCCCAGCCTGCCAGCTGACTTTCCGGTGGCGGGGAGAAGAAATTGGAACTAGAACAATGCGGCCCAGTGCTATTAGCTGCCACTGCAGATGGCAGTGTTGTCTGTTGATCCATGGCAGGACGCGGTGACCCCGGCGGGGACATGAGCATAGACGGGTGCAGCTCTTCCTCATTTACAACGCCAGGTATAACAATTGGTGGCTCGTCCAGTGATGAAGAAGCTGAGCTGGTCATTATTGGCACCAGTGGTGATGGAACGACAGCTGCATTCGGCAACAGTCGTGAATAGAAACTACTGTCAAGCGATATGCCGGCTGTGAGTGCTTTAATCGGTGCTTGTGGAAAGCGGGCATACTTGTGCGGCAACTCCGGCAAGATCTTCTGACTGTCAAAACTGTGACAGCGGCGCATCTTCAGCGTAACTAAACCGGCCGATGCCGGTTGCTGGGGCGTCGAAGGCTGTGCAGTCGGTGTGCTCAAGAGAATGGTGCCATCCGGGGAGTGTACTGCAGTCATGTTATCAACAAGCGAATGCTTCGAGAGCGTGCGACGACGCTTGCCAGCAACGGGTTCAGCTGCGGTCGGTGTAGATTCCAAGCTTTCCTGGGAGTGACTCCGTTCATAGTGGTAGTCTGCTGAGGAAATGTCAGGACCAACCCACAAAAAGGCAGATTTCTTTCCGTTGTTTGATGATACGTGTACCTTCTGGATGAGATTGAGGCTGGTGAGAATGTTGGCGATGTCATACAAACGACGCACTTTTGTTTTGCACTTAGCTGCATCAGCCTGGTGGCCATCAATGAGGGTAAGTGCTGCGTCTTCCAAGCACACAGTCTTGGTATCAGACGTCAGAAACAGCATGAGAAAGCGTTGACTCAGCACACCGAGAGACTTGTCACGGTTTGCTGGGCTTGACAACCCTGGTGTTGATGGTGCACTTTCTTTCTCAGCGAGCGCGTGTAACTTTGCAAGGGTGGTCTGCAAGCCACTGCGGCCATTCCAGCGATATTTGTTTTTGGCAAGGCGGCTGACCATCTCCACACTCTCCAGAACGTTAATAATATCATAAATTCTGCGCCGTTCCACAGATAAATCTTCAGCTACTCTGTCAAGACAAATTTGTTCACCGCTCATCTCTGGTTTATCAAATCGTTCCAAAAAGCGATTGCATAACAAGCCCAGTGACTTGGATTTGCGCCCAAAGAACCCAGCAGGCTTCTCCTGATATTCTTCCATAGCTCGAATTGGCCGCTTTAGCTCTACTTCTCGGGCAGCTGCTCTTTCCCTCAAATCGGGGCTGACAGCCTGGACCAAAAGCTTCAAGTTTGAGGTAGGAGTAGCTGGCTGCGCAGCAGAACCAGCGGGAGATTTTACTGGTGTTGATGGTGTACTCGTCTTGGCTACAGTTAAAGAACCACATTGGTCATCCTGAAGACATGCTGTCCATTCCGCTGGAAGTGTGGTGACCTCGTTGGGCTTCTCTTCTGGATATACGAAGAGGGAACTAAGCACTCTGGCTCCAGCTTCTTCAAGGTCTATGCTACCATCACCACCAGGGGGTACAAATGGCAGCTCTGATCTAACTTGCTCCATCATTACTGATAATATCGCAGTATACTACCACGGACTAGATCTGGAAACGTCCCTACATAATCATTGCCATAGATATCGCAGAAAGTGAAGAACACGAGAATGCCAGCAAAGCACTTCAGCCTTCAGGAAAGCAACATGTGCAGCAGAAATCCCGCGACTACGGCTGGCGCAGTTTGCATCTCGCGCCATTTTTTCCCTTTGGAGATTTCTTGTTTCATGTTGTGACCATGGAAACACATTTCTGACGGCGCGAATCTACTGC